TACTCATGTTCTTTGGTTAAAAATCTGGTATATCGCTTTGAATTTACTCAACTCAGTTAAGTGGAACCAGGTAACATAACATGGTTAAGTAAATCCAACATTTCATTTTTACAGTGCACAGGGTTAAAACTATAGTTCCCATCCCTCACTCCCAGAGTTTTAATCCAACAGGTTGTTTTTAGAACCTTTTAAAAGATGTTATCTCATGTAAGAGATCTGAACTGTTAGCTCTGTCTGTTGAGCATGACTCATTCACGTCATTTGGTTAGCTGTGACATCTTGAAGAAACTGATTCTACAAGTTAAAAGTTGTAAGATTAAATTTCAGTTTTGTTTCAATCCATGCATGAGATATTTTGCTGAGAGCTGAATAAATGTAAATTAAATAAAGAATGAACTGTTGTTTGTTTTTAGAACAGAAAACTTTACAAACAATTGAATAATAAGTTTTATGTTTTTCACTTTGTCCTATGACTATACACTCTAAAAATGAAATGTTGGATTTACTTAACCATGTTATGTTACCTGGTTCCACTTAACTGAGTTGAGTAAATTCAAAGCAACATATTCATGTTCTTTGGCTAAAAAACTGGTATATTGCTTTGAATTTACTCAACTCAGCTAAGTGGGACCAGGTCACATAACATGGTTAAGTAAATCCAACGTTTCATTTTTTTACAGTGTACCAGAACAGGATCCGCCGGACTCGACCCGGTGCGGTTCCGTCCTGAAGGGGGCGGGACTTTCAGCCATCAGGTCCGGCAGTCTGGATCCTGGCACCGGACTGGAGACTGGGGTTGTTTACAGGTGAGTTCTGTGTTGACTCGGACCGGGTCCAGTCTGCGGTGCCGAGCTGCGATGACGCTGGTAGACGAGCGGATCTGGTCCCTGTTCAGGAACCGGTCCCAGCAGACCCTGACCTACTGGAGCGCTTTCTTCAGCTTCGGTCTGTGCCTCGCCTTCCTGGGTCCCACCATCCTGGACCTGCGCTGCCAGACCCAGTCCACCCTGCAGCAGATCACCTGGGTCTTCTTCTCTCAGCAGTTCTTTCTCCTGGTGGGCAGCTGCCTGGGAGGACTCTTCAGGAAGACGTAAGTCCAGATGACTCCTGTTCTGGGTTCAACTCAGTTAATTTCTTTATTTCTGCTCTGATTCTTTCATTCAAGGACAACGTGTTGTGTTTTTAAAATAAAATTTATTTAGGAATAAATTCTGTTAAATAAAATCGCAATTCTGAATTTAAAAATATTCTTAAAAGAAATAAATTCTAAATGTCATGATGTTCTGCAGGCTGTAAATGATTTATTATCTCAGGCGGATGTTTTTGTCTGTCTGTCTTCTGAACAGCTCTTGAACTACGTTTAAATAAAATTCTCAAAGTATAACTATGAAGCTAATCAACACATTGTGGTAGTAGCTGAGAGTCGTTCTGAGCACAGCAGGAGTTATTCTGACTTCTCATGAGGTGGTCTGACTTTAACCCTCTGATGTTAAAGGCAGCAGGTGATGAATGCTGTTCCTCCTGAACAAACTGTGGGTTTAGACTAATTCACTGACAGCTGGACTCAGGGCTACATTTGACTGGAAAATTTTCAAAATTCAAATTTTAAAAGATGAATGAATACGTTATCTCCAATGATGCAGGCTCAGAGCAGCAGACACAGACCCGTCTGCGTGGAAACCGGGTCTTACAAACTTCTGTTTTTCTAAACAAGTTTTAGAGCAAAAAAAAAAGTCTTTCTCATCTTGATTCAATAAAAATTCACTGAGATCCAGATCTGACACATCATAAAACAATGATCAGAACAAACATTAAAGAATGAAACACATCTGAAACACATAAATGGGTTTTTGGTAGGAGCAATTCTTTTTACAGACACATTTTAACTTGATATAATTATATAAAAATGATCAAAGCTAGATAAGTCTGGGGTGAATGTTACAAACAGTTTATTCCTTAGTATGACTCTGTCCTTTCTCCTTCATCTCCTTCATCTCCCTCCTCCTCCTCCTCTGTAGCTGCTGCTGGTTTGATCCAGGGTGCTGCTTCTTTTTCTTTTCTTCACCTTTCTTTTCTTGTTATTATGCTGCAGTTAAATGAGCTAAATCAAAGGGTTAGTGGTGCTGGACAAGACTTTCTTCAAAGGCGAGACCAAAGAATACAAGGAAAGTTAGAACTTGTGAGGTTTCAGAGGCAAATCCACTTGTTTTGTTTGTTACCTGCTGGCTGAATCATCAGCAGAGCTCTGACCGAAGAAAAGAGAAGTGTTCATGAACCACTGCTGCCTCTGTGTCCAGCTGTCAGTATGTTCATGTTGAGAGCTGCTCGGCAGGTGTGTGTGTGTGTGTGTGTGTGTGTGTGTGTGTGTGTGTGTGTGTGTGTGT